GACACATGTCTAGGGACTGCCCGAAAAAGAAGGAGGCAGCAAAACCCAACATTCCGCCAAAGCCGAAGGCGAGAGCCTTCCAGATGACACTGGAAGCTGCTAAAGATGAAGCTGATGTCGCTTCAGGTACCTTTCTCGTAGACAAATTGCCTGCCCAAATTTTATTTGATTCTGGAGCCAACTACTCCTTTATTTCGCATGAATTTGGTAGAAAACTAGCTTTGCCTGTCGATAGATTAGATAATGCTTTATTAGTCGAAGTTGTTAGTGGCAAGTTTGTACCTGTTAGCCATCGTATGAAAAACATCTTAATTGACTTGAATGGGAATAAGTTTCACGAGGAAGTATTGCCTATCGAACTTAATGGTTTCGACATCGTGTTGGGGATGGATTGGCTTAGCGCCAATGATGCTGAGATTTTATGGAAGAAGAAGATAGTAAAAGTAAACCCGCCAGGGAAAGAGTCATTTATGGTGTATGGGGACAAACACAGAGTAAATTATGGAATCATTTCGCTAATGAAAGCCAGAAAGTGTTTGGCCAAAGGATGTACATCATATTTGGCATTTGTGATCGATGCTAAGAAGGAGAAAAAGGAGATACAGAGCATTCTTGTCGTGTGTGATTATCCGGAAGTATTTCCCGAAGATCTTCCCAGATTACCGCCTGATAGACAAGTGGAGTTCAGAATAGACTTGTTACCAGGGACGACACCAATAGCAAAGACACCTTATCGATTAGCACCGACGGAGATGAAGGAGCTGATGATGCAACTTCAGGAGTTATTGGACAAATGTTTCATTAGACCTAGTTCATCACCCTGGGGGGCTCCGATGTTATTCGTGAAGAAGAAAGATGGAAGTATGAGAATGTGCATCGATTACAGAGAGTTGAACAAGGCAACAATAAAGAATAGATATCCGTTGCTGAGGATTGATGACCTGTTCAATCAACTACAAGGTTCAAGTTATTTTTCAAAGATCGACCTGAGGTCAGGATATCATCAGCTAAAAGTAAGAGAGCAGGATATAGAGAAGACTGCATTCAGAACATGATATGGACACTACGAGTTTTTGGTTATGTCGTTTGGACTAACCAATGCTCCAGCAGCATTCATGGATTTAATGAACAAAGTTTGTAATCCATTCCTTGATAAATCTATGATAGTGTTCATAGATGACATTCTGATTTACTCGAAAAGCCAAGAGGAGCATGGCAGACACTTGCGAGAAGTGTTAGAAGTCTTGAAGAAGGAGAAGTTGTATGCTAAGTTCTCCAAATGTGATTTTTGGATTCGAGAAGTCCAATTCTTGGGTCACGTGGTCAACCAAGAAGGGATAATGGTTGATCCAGCAAAAATTGGAGCTGTGATGAAGTGGGAACAACCGAAAAGTCCCACGGAGATCCGAAGCTTTTTAGGATTAGCCGGATATTACCGAAGGTTTATCCAAGGCTTTTCTTCGATCGCTAGTCCATTAACAGCTTTGACCCACAAAGGAGCTGCTTATGCTTGGAGTGATATGCATAGAGAAGCATTCGAGTTGTTAAAGAAGAAGTTATGTGAGGCACCGATTTTATCTCTACCCGATGGAGTTGAAGACTTTGCTGTTTATAGCGATGCGTCAGGTGTTGGGTTGGGTTGTGTTTTGACCCAAAGGGAAAAGGTGATCGCATATGCGTCTCGACAGTTGAAAGAGCATGAAAAGAACTACCCCACTCATGATTTGGAGTTGGCAACGGTAGTTTTCGCTCTAAAAATATGGAGGCATTACCTCTATGGCACGAAGTGTAAACTTTTCACTGATCATAAGAGTCTCCAATATCTCTTTAGTCAGAAAGAATTAAATATGAGGCAACGACGCTGGCTTGAATTACTTAAGGACTACGACTGTGAGATACTTTACCACCCCGGTAAAGCTAATGTTGTTGCTGATGCTCTTAGTCGGAAAGTCAATCTTGAAAGAAAAAGGACAAGAGCGTTGAGGATAGAAGTTGTCTCGACCATTGTGGAAAGTATAAAGAAAGCTCAAGAGGAAGCTTCTGAAAAGAATGACCGAAAGGAGGAACGTTTGGGCAAAACGTTGGTGTTTGGTACAAACGGTCATGGACTGAAGGTATTCCAAGGTCGTATTTGGGTACCTAAGTCAGGAGGGATAAGAGATCTTCTGATGGAAGAAGCTCACAAAACCATGTACTCAATTCATCCCGGCAACACTGAAATGTATAGGGACCTGAAACCCTATTACTGGTGGCCGAAGATGAAGCTTGATATCGTAAAGTATGTGGCCGAGTGTGTGACTTGTGCGAGAGTCAAGACACAACATCAGAAACCATACGGGAGTTTAGAACCTTTACCTGTGCCTATGGGTAAATGGGAAGACATTGCTATGGATTTTGTCACTAAACTACCCAGAACAAAGAATGGTCACGACATGATTTGGGTGGTCGTTGATCGATTCACTAAGAGTACGCATTTCATAGCAGCCAAGGAGAAATGGTCTATGGATAAGCTTGCGAATTCTTACATGAAGGAAATTGTGAGGCTTCACGATGTTCCGTTAATGATTGTGTCAGATCGTGACAGCCGTTTCACCTCGCGATTTTGGAAAAGTCTACAAGAGGAATTGGGTACCAAGTTGTGTTTGAGTACAGCTTACCATCCACAGACTGATGGTCAGAGCGAACAAATGATACAAACGCTTGAAGATATGCTGAGAGCATGTACCCTGGAATTCCAAGGTAATTGGGATGAACATTTACCTTTGGTAGAATTTTCCTACAATAATAGTTTCCACTCGAGCATAAAGATGACACCTTATCAAGCTTTGTACAGACAGAAGTTTCGTACGCCGTCATGTTGGCTTGAGGCCGGGGAAAAGCAGTTTATGGGACCGGAGATAGTCCATCAAACTGCTGAAAAGTTGAAAATAATTAGGGAGAGAATGTTAGCAGCTCAGGATCGTCAAAAGAGCTATGCTGACAACAAGCGAAGACCGATAACTTTTGAAGTTGGGGATTCGGTTTTGCTTAAAGTCTCGCCGTGGAAGGGACTTATAAGATTTGGTAAAAGGGGAAAGTTAAGTCCAAGGTTTATTGGAGCGTTTAAAGTTCTTCAAAGGATTGGGAACCAAGCTTACAAGCTAGAATTACCCGAAGAACTGAATGGAATTCATAACACTTTCCATGTGTCACTACAAGAAAAATAGCCTTTAATGACGCGCAAACAATGACACTTGCTGATTCACGTTACGTATTTTTGGGCGTCCTTAAAAATAATGTCAGACTTCCAAAATTTGAAGGATAGAGGACACGTATTTTTGCGTGCCCTTAAATTAGTGTCTCAAGAAAAAAAAAAAAAAAAGCACGGAGGGCGCTTTATCTTAAACGCGCATCTTCTGTAGGTGTCGCTTTATAATTTTAGTGAAATGCGCCTTGAGAAGATAACGGGGGAAAACGAAACCCTAAAATTTTGAAAACCCGCCTTTCTTTTCTACCTTCTTTTCTTCATCTTCACAATCGACTCTCCCCTCTTGTTTCTCTATTGTGAGAAGTGACGGAAAGAAGGGAGACTAGGATGGATCTGCCGGTGATGATGAACGGAGGTGCTTTCCGGTCAATTTCGGAGATGGCGTTGTCGATTTCGATGGTTGTTTCCCTCTTGCCCTAATCACGTCGTCGCCGCGAATCACACACCGCTAGGCAGTGGAAGAAGATGATGAAGTTTGTCGTTGTCGTATGCCGCCCTCCCTCGCTGTCTCTAACTATCTCTGCCCTTTCTTTATTCTTCGCTTCTATGATCGTCTCATCTTCCTTCATCTTCTCGGTTTTCCATCAGGTAATTATCGGGTTCGCTCGTGATGCTGAACTTCATAAAAGAGTTCTTCTCCGGTCTTAGCATCTTCCCGGGTAGCTGAACTTCTGTCATCGCTCGGGATCGATCTCAGCCTCCTATTCACCCCTCTACAGCTGTCATCGCTAGGGTCTCGTTTCTTATCATCGGTGAGGCCTCGTTTCTTCTTATCAGTATTGGATTTCTTCTTGGCTGAGGGGCCAGATTGACGAGACCTGTGAGACTTCTGAGATCGCTCCATGCTCCCTGTGTGACTGTGTGAGGATACAGAGATTAATGGCTGCGACAGGGGTTAGCAAAGCTTCTTATTTCTTCTCTACCAGGTATAATAATTGTTTCTTAAAATGGTTTCTTTTTCCTATTCATCACTGTTAGGGCTTATTTCTTCTCTGGGACGAATTTGATTCTTTTTCTGATTTGGGAACTAAAACATGCGAGACTAATGAATTTATTGGTGATAATTAATGGTCTGATGATTCCTTAACCTATGAACATTCACATTTATCTGTTATAGTGAACATCAAATCTTGTGTTTGGATACAATAACAGGCAAATATATATGCTGCTTATTTAAGTTCAAATATGGAGTGGACCAAACAACAAGACATTCTCAGAGATCTTTGTTCAGGGCATTGCTGTTACATTCAATTTACACACTTCAATGTGTTTCCCAGTGCACTATATACATATCTATCTCAGAGGTGATATTCTGTCATTATATCTTTCCTTGCTATTGTAATTATTTGAACTTATTGATGCTTGCTTTGATATATCTTTGATAAAGACGTGAATGCCCTCCTCACCAGAATTCCATCCAACTAAGCAAACCCTTAAGTTTCTTTCTTCAATGATCCCAAATGTTAGATATTTCACAACTTTTGATAACTTCACCTGATCATCATCCTTTCTGCTTTTATCATCATTTTCTGAACCTTTTCTTCTTAGTATAGTGACCTTACTGAAGCTGAACGTGCATTGATTCTAGATAAATTTCATTATGCAACAACAAAATGGAATCAAAATTCAACAGCCATTCAATTTGGAGATGAAAAGGAAGAACAAAAATCTCATATGATAGTTGCAACTGATGCTTGTCTTCCTATTCTTGCTTCAGGAGAATCATCCATCAGCTCTAGTGTTCTTATAAACTATGAACTCCCAACAAAAAAGGTACTCTTATACAATATATTGACAACTATAAAGTTAAAAAATTCCATGTTATGACTTATGAGTAACACTAACAAACAGTCTTTCAAATATATATTATAAATAGGAGGAGCATCCAAGGACAAGAACGAATAAGAGAAAGAAGACAGCAGCACGTAAGAGTAAGATTAATCCGAAAAAACGTCGCTAGAGCCTTGCAGGTTTCTTCATCTGTTCCTTGTTAAAAAATTATAAATCAAACATATTTATTTATTTATTTATTTATTTACGAGCTTGGAAGTTCGTTATAGCACTAATAAAAAGTTGGTTATTTGTTTTTTTTCTAATGACGTTTCTAGTTTTGCCCCTTTTCAGGCTGGAAGGGTTGAAGATGGTGAAATGAAGAGGACTTTTAATATGGGAATTGGGATGGTTTTGGTTGTTAGTAAAGAGGCTGCTGAAAGGGTGGTTAAGGAAGAAGGTGAGATGGTGTATCTTATTGGTGAAGTGTAGCTCAAAATACAACTGGCAGTGTCTTTTTACATGAGGTAGGTATTTTCAAATATAGTAAATCTTTTTCTATAATATTTATTATTAAATGATACCTTATTATGGTTGGTGTTTAATAGGGAGGCCAAGAAATTGAGGTTTCTGGATCACCAACAGAAAAGGCCATACTTCAATGGGGGGGTTAATGTTAGTTCTTCAATCATATTTTTAGTTTTTTTTTTGTTATTCTTATACTGATGAGATGGCGCAGGAAGAATTTGAAAGAGAAGGCTCTTGGCACTGCCATGGAACACATCCATTATAAGGATGATAATACTCGCTATATATGCATATGGCCTGTAAACAAGGTAAACAATACCATTATAATCTATCTAATCCTTATATTGGAAAATGGAAAAGTTCATATCCTATATCTGAAGCCTTCCCTTTCTAAAGTCTAAACCAAAACCTTTTCTTCAGGTGTTAAATATGCTCTGCTGCTGGGCAGAAGATCCAAACTCAGTGGCTTTCAAGCTATACCTCCCAAGGATACATGATTATCTTTGGTTTGCTGAAGATGGCATGAAAATGCAGGTTTTAAGATGACACTTTCCCATCTTTCTTTCATTAAATTTGATTTCTTCTGTGTGCACATATTAGTATCAGAGTGTATATGTATATGATTTTTCATTATCTAATGCAGGGTTACAATGGCAGTCAACTTTGGGATACCTCATTCACTGTTCAAGTAATTATTTCTACACACCTCATTGAAGAATTTGGTCCAACACTGAAAAAGGACACATGTTCATACAGAAGTCACAGGTTAAAGATACATACATACAGTTTCTCACTGAAATTCAAGTTTTGAACCATGTTGTTTCTTGACTTTTTTTAATTGCATTTGCTTCAATCAAAGGTGTTAGATAACTGTCATGGGGATCTTGATTATTGGTATTAAAGAAATTGTTCTATTCCTAAATATGTTTGAGCGACCCGTTCCATCAGTGGGCTAACCAGCAGATCCAGAGCTCCGCAAGTCATGGGGATGGTGGAAGGTAAACAAGTGGACGGTCCATATATTAAACTGCCTCTATACCCGGTGAGTAGTCAGTCACATCATTCAGATGTTTCTTTTAATTTAATTGTTTTTGGCTGGCTTTCAGACATGTATTTATTGTCTTCTTGCTCAAGTTTTTACTTTTTACTTTTTTCTCAGCTTTGGAGATTTAAAATTGCAAAACCCAGAGAACAAAGCTTTTGCACAACACTTCCAGAAGAACTATGTGGGAAATTTTTTGGAATGTTATCTCAACTTGTTGAATGCGCTGCGTATAGGTGACTATTTACCTGACAGAGTTTCCAACCTTATTTTGCAATACTTGAGCAACAGGTCTGCTTCATTTCATGTAAACGTGGAAAAGAGAACCTTTAAAAGTTCATATTATTTATTGTGGAGATTTTTAAGAGGTATACATACCAATCTTCTAGCTATTTCATAAACAACCTGTTAATTTGTCCCAACAATCATGGTCCTACTTTGACTGATTAGATATGAAGAGGCTTCAGTTGAAGGCAATTCCTGATATTTGGTTCTTCTTTCTAATACGTGTTGACATTTGGTTCTTCTTTCTAATACGTGTTGACGTAGGTTAGTGCCTCTTATGAGCAGGCTCTGATGGACGCCCGCAAGATTATTGAGCTAGAAATGGAACAGTTTAAGATTTGTGAAAAGGAGACAAAGACAAAAGCTTTCTCTAAAGAAGGCCAAGGACAACAGCCTAAAACGGTATCTATTGCTTTGCTTTTTTTGCATATCATACATGGAAATAACCTTCAGTCATTGTATAGTGAAGTTTCTTTGTTGATGATATTTTGTAGGATCCAAAGGAGAAAGCCAAGTCAGAGACTAGAGATTGGTTCAACAATACGGTATAACACTACACTATACTACTGCCTTTATAGCATTATACTAGTACTTTAAAGGCCTCCCTTTGTTTTATTATTTACATATGTGGATCCTCATTTAGACATTATATATGACAATGCTTATTATTGGTTAGGTGTCTGAGCTGGAATCTCAAATCGATAGCTTTAAAGCTGAGATGGAGGGGCTATCTGTTAAGAAAAGAAAAAGCAAGACCTCCAAGACTGAAGTCTTTTTGCCAAAAGCATTCTCATCAGCAAAAGGTTCATATTGATTTAGTATAACATAATTCAAGCAAAACATATTTAGTCATGGGTTTCTTTTAATGTTGTACATGTTTTGTTTTCTATAATAAATATTATGCAATATTAGCAACATTTACTTACTATTGGAATGATTATTTGTATTTGACATATTAATGCAATGAATTATCTTTATTGTTTATGGTATTTTATTTTGTATTATGAGACTTTTAATGTGTGTTATTTAATTTGAAAATTAGTAAATCTATCAAAAATATATAATTTTAAAAACTGTAAGGTCCTGAAACGGATCTTACCAGTGATCAAGCAAACAAAACAATTGATTATAATAAGAATGAAGTAGAAACTGAATCAAGAACAAGCTTGCACACGCTTCTATTAACGAAAAACGTCTGGTACAACTTGTTTACAACAACCGTGAACTCTATGGCATCAACAACCATTAAATGACCTACATAACCTCTATATATAGTGGACTTGGGCCGACTCTGGGTTTACGTTCGTAAACTCATAACAAGGTCGTAAACTACTAACCAAACTACCAAAACTGCATACAGACCCAAAAGAACCTATTACAACGAAAGCCTAGACCAAACCATTAATTAGACCAACGGATCTTACAAGTGATCAAGCAAACAAAATAATTGATTATAATAAGAATGAAGTAGAAACAGAATCAAGAACAAGCTTACACACACTTCTATTAACGAAAAACGTCTGGTACAACTTGTTTACAGCAACCGTGAACTCTATGGCATCAACAACCATTAAATGACCTACATAACCTCTATATATAGTGGACTTGGGCCGACTCTGGGTTTACGGCCGTAAACAGGCTTACGGCCATAAACTCATAACAAGGCCGTAAACTACTAACCAAACTACCAAAACTGCATACAGACCCAAAAGAACCTATTACAACGAAAGCCTAGACCAAACCATTAATTAGACCCTTCAATCTCCCCCTTGGTTTGGTGCTAGCTTGGAGTTAATCTTTGTCGACCACCATCACATCTGCCTGCCCCATTGCCCCGTTCCACATACGTTTATTGATGATTTCAGCAACCATGGACGTGTACTCTTTCGCTGCTTGCTCAAAAATCTCCTCGGCAACTTTTATTTGATAAGTACTCAGATGATGAATATCCCACTTCCTGAACTGGAACAAATCCCTTCGATCATAAAGATGGATACATCCATCTTTAAGCTTGATAACAGCAGACGATGTAGTCTCGTCGAAAACCCAGTAAAGCATGGAGCTTAGGGATCCATCTGGATAACTTTGAAGAACAAGGATTTGTTTAACCTGATTGGTTGCAGGCCACATCACCACCTGAAGTGGATGACCAGTCTTGGGATCTATGACGTCTGGATAATGCTTGATAACAGACTCAACAGTCTTCATTGAAGGAAAACCCCTTTTCACCTGGTCTTCTAGGAAGTGTTTGAATTGAGTTGCCTGTGGATTATCCGAGAGATTTGCAAAAGGAGATTGTGATAACTCTAATAGATCCACCCTAGTCCATAAATTGAAATCATGACAGTCTTTGTATAGCTCAGTGTTGCCACTCTTTCTTCGTACTATCCACATGTTTAGAGTATCATGAAATCCCCAAGAAATGATCCCAGACCTATCACCATACGTATCTCTAAAGCGTACAACCCCAAGATCCGTAACGGTGATTGTTGGTTGATCCTCAGGTGCATTCTTGTCAGAACTCCTCTTAAACAAAAGTTGTCCCTTTTCAGCAGCTTGAGCTTGTCTATCACGTATAATTGCCGCAATATGGGGAGCATGAGCGGGCTCCTCATCAAAACAATTTACGACCCGTGAAGTCTGAACGGTTGGCATGGCAACAAGATGAGCTTGAGTATGTAGATTGATCCTGTACTCGTCTGCAGATGTTTTGTATTTGTCACCAAGATCTCCTTCAAGCCTCTTCTTCAAATCAAAGTAACTGGAGGTAAGGATATTAAAATGGGCTTGAAGATCAGAGATTTGCTTTGTCTTTATCGCTCGATCATCCTGAAGATCAAAGACTTGAGATTTCAGTTTGGCATTCTCATTCAATAAATCATTGACTTGAATATCAAGTTCAATGTTCCTCTGATCCAGGACATTGATCTTCTTTTGAAGCTCATCAACTGACGGTTTATCTACTCCTTGGTGACCTTCTATGAAAGAAATTCCTTTGTCGCGAGAAGAAGGATCTACACTTTCATTCTGAGTGAGATGCATAGCTAACCGTACAGAGGCATCATCAAGATCTGCCCCAGGAGGAGAGAATCCGGGTGGAGCAGAGGAGCCACCAACCTCAAAATTGGTGCTAGGACCTCCACAAAATGGTTCTGTTGATACGATGGCAGGGGTAGTTGTTGGTGTAATCAGCATGCCATGAGACAAGTCAAAATCCAGAGGCCCAAACCTAGGATCACGTCTTCTTCTCTTAGATGGAGGCTGTAAGGTCTGGTCTGTTGTATCATCACCCTGAAGTGGTTCAATTGTAGGTGAGGCAACGTCAAGGGGAGGAATCCCTGACACTGTCACCATTGGAACTGTAGAATCAACCACTTGATCTGTAGAAATGGGTGTTGACTCGAGAACGTCTTCAGAGTCCCTTATCTCCGTTGCTAGGTGAGCAACATCACTGATATTATCAAGCAATGTGTTGAGGTTGACATTCGACAAAAAGTCATCATTGCTTCCAAAGTTGGTTGGAATCTCATCTCTATCAAAACCTGTAAGGTCAAGGTCTTCATATTGATCGGTCTCAGTTGCATTCTTGGAAGTCCCTTCATTGTAGTCACTTTCGACTTGAACTGATCGCAGGCCA